ACAGTCGTTTAATCCCGAATAAAGCTTCGTCTTCTTCAACAATTCAATTCAACTTCTCAATAGGAGCATCTGAAATATACTATACGCAACTATTATATTTAAAGAAAAGAACATACTAGTAGCAACCATATAGTGGTGACAACTACACAACTGTATAGTTTTATATCTACAAGCATATATTATGAATATATATATATATATATATATATATATAATTATGATTGCAATAACTATAAAATAATTTATTTAATTATATATGTATGAATACATAAATTATTAATCAGATTTGGCAACATCCGCAGTTATTATTAATGCTAACGTAAGCTATCATATAAACACTAGTTAAATTCGGTTTTAACTGGTACTTTAAAATCGGATTTAACTAATATTTCTGCTCTCAATGGCTCTCTGACTCTGAAAGGTCAGGTACCAAACTCCAAGTATCATAAACTAGCGATTCTACAGCATTTTACGTCAGCAATTAATAACTACGAACGTTATTCGAGTAATAGTAACATGCAAATGTGGGACATTAATTCTACATAATATAAAACTTGTATGATTGCTATCTCTAAAGTTGTTACCACTATATTTTTCTTCAAGTACAGAGAGACAGTTTTATCTGAGAAAAAACTTGTAGAGATTAAAATTATAGGAATTAAGGACGATCTTTCATCAAGGCGTACTTGAGTTTCATTGCAACAGTGACTTTGATTTTAAAGTTCCGGCGCGTGCATTTAAACACACTTTGACTTTTAACGCGTCATTCACCACCTTGGCACGATTAATAACGTATTATCTTAGTTCGTATTACAACCTTTGTTCGAGAGCCGAGAGACGGCGGCGAATCGTTAACTCGTGTTTAATTAAACTCGTCTGTCACGCAAATCAAGTTCGGTCTTAATGGGCACCGTTGTGAGTCAATCGGACGCCATCCTTGACCACAGTTTAGGAGAAATTTCAGGTTTATCGTTGACTACGAAAAGTGGTTGACTTATAGCTTGTCCAATCGATGAAGGACGACCGTGATCAAAAAGTAGCGACGCCGGTTGAACGTTACTCCGAGTTTTGTATCGCCACGCGCGATAGAATTTCTTTCATTGACAGACATACGGGCTTTCAACGTATTGCAATCTATTGATGAAACACCGTCAACGAGATGTAAAATTATTATTTAAAAAATCGAATATATCACTTCTAGAAGGATAACCCAAGGTGTCTTTGCGACAGCTTGGGTTATCCAAGCAAGTTGGCAAGTTTTTGCATTCGGAGCAAATCTTTCACACAGGTGGGGTCATCGTTACCGTTACTTTGGTCTCGGAGTTACTTGTCAATCATCGTGTAAACATCAATTAGCGTCAACTATATACTAATCACTGTGCCGCGTGAGTCATCCATTATCGACCGCGACGGAATCCGTATTCTAAGGTGAAGTCTCCTCGTCGTCCTCGGACGGAGAATCGGGTGAGTCAAAGGTGGTAACGAACGGGATAATCGGAAGACTCTGACTGGACTCGGCATGTCGAGGACGATGATACACCAAGAGTCGTAAGAAAGGAGCGAGTCTAAGGTGAAATCTCGTCGTTCTCGAACGAAGACTCAGGTGAAGCGAAGCGGGATGATCGGGAGACCTTGATTGAACTCGGCGTCTTGTCAGGGACGATGATACACCAGGAGTCGCAAGAAAGGTGTGAGCCGTCGCGTGCGCGAACTCGAGTCGTATCAGTTGTATGGTCGTCGCGAGTCGCCGATCGAGGAGGCGTCGAAAAACGCGCTAGAGAATCCAGTTTGTGTGTGTGTGTGTGTGTGTGTGTGTGTGTGTGTGTGTGTGTGTGTGTGTGTGTGTG